GCTAAAATTAGTGGACAAAAGTAAGATGAGTAACGGAACACTTAACATAGTATCTATATGGCTCTCTCTCTACAAGGAATTAGTTGCAAAGATAAAAATAATTTTACAGTGGATAAGCCGAAAGACACTGCCTTACCTAAGTGACCAAAGTTAACATCGTCAGTAACAAGCATATTGACATCATGTGCCTCTTGCTGATACATGGAAAAGGGCACATGCCATTTCTACAGTATGCTTGCCAACACACATTACCTGAATTTAATTATGAGGAAAGATCAGACAAAGCCAAACGAGGATATTCTATAATATTCCCTAAAATTATAAAGATTATGAAAGACAAAAAAAAGACTAAGGAAATGTCCCAGATTAAAGGAGACTAAGGAGCCTGACAGTTTAATGTAATGTATAATCCTGAACTGGATCCTGGGCCAGAAAAAGAATATTACTGGACAGTTGGGGAATTTCAATAAAGTTTTAAAATTAGTTTACAGTACTTTATCAATGCTAATTTCCTGATTTTGGTAGCTGTATTATTGAGATGTGCTAATATTAATTGGAATAGTTGGGGTATACTTAAGTGCTGCATTCTATTTTTACAACTTTTTGTTTATGAAAATTTAAATATAAAAACATCTAAAAGAAAGATACAGAAAAGCCTAATGTAAAGTATGTTTTTCTTCTAGTCCTGTCTTCCAGCTTCACTTCCCAGGGAAACATCTGCTGTTTCCAGTCTTCAAATGCATACTTTAAGAGATAGGCATGATGGCTCACACCTGTAATCCCAGCACTTTGGGAGTCTGAGGCAGAAGAGGTGCTTGAGCCCAGGAGTTCAAGACTGGCTGAGGCAACAAAGAAAGACCTCCTCTCTACAAAAAAATAAAAAACGTAGTCCGGTGTGAGAGCGCATACCTTTAGTCCCAGCCACTTAGGAGGCTGAGGAGAAGGATCACCTGAGCTCAGGAGGTCAAGGCCACAATGAGCTGTGATCATGCCACTGCACTCCAACCTGGACGGCAGAGTCAGACCTTCATTTTAAAAAACTTTGTGTTTTTAAATTAAATAATTTAAAACTATATACTTAAACTTTTAAAGGGAGTAAATTTACAATGACTTTTTTTAAATTATAGATGCCTCAAATTGAATTTTTACACTGACCAATTGTTATCTGTCTAGTGTAATGTCAAATACATCAAAAAAGCCTATTTCCTATTTGGTTTTAATGACTTAAACAAAGTTTTTTTTTTTGGTTTTTTGTTTTTTTAACATAGCAAGATATCATCATGAGAGTTAAAGTTGAAACTGTTTTATGCATTTAAATCAATTTTTATATACTTAAATGCATGCATAAGTAGCATGTTTTATGGTGTCAAATTAGTTTCCTTACTTCTCAGGATATTAATTTCGTTTAGTCTCCAACTGAGCAAAGGACCTGTTTCCAACATTAAGTTCAGAATTGGATGTTTGTGCTGAGTAGTGGCTTATGACTGTAATCCCAATACTTTGGGAAGCTGAGGCGAGAGGATTGCCTGAGCCCAGGAGTTCGAGACCAGCCTAGGCAACATAGCAAGACCACATTTCTATAATTAAAACAAAAGCAAAAAATTAGCTGGGCGCGGTGTCACATACCTATAGTCCTAGCTACTTGGAAGGATCACCTGAGCCCAGCAGATTGAGGATGCAATACCCATGACTGTGCCACTGCATTCCAGCCTGGCCAACAGAGTGAGACTTTCACTCAAAAAAAAAAAAGAATTGGTTGTTTGGAACTCAAGCACATTTCTCCATAGAAGTCACATAATAGTTTTCCTACTTAGCTTAGAAAGGAGCCAATTTAACCTATAATATTAGACCAAGGGTTTAACCAATTTAACTAAGGGTCAATTCTAATACAACACGTATAAATTAGAATCAAGTTCTCATTGGTAAAAATGTGGCTATGAATAAAATATCTCCAGTGTTCCAACTTGAAAAGTCAGGCACATATCTTCAATCTCCTTTCCCTAATCCCTCAACTCATGACTTCTCATTGCCGTGCCCCAGAGGAGTCATCAGATATCTGTAACTTTTCTTGCTTCCAAGCCCTGGTGGTAGTATGCTAAGCTGAATGGCAGAGGTAGTGCTAGGATGTAGTTATGTAACTCTAAAGTGTAACCAAAGCTGAAGAGTGAAGAGGACAGGCAGCATTAAGGAGAGAAAGGTCATAAGTAGCTGTGTATATATGTGGTAAATTGCAGAACGACTCAACATATATTCACAAACTCCTTCCCCTACCTACTTCCCCACCCCATCACTATTAGGCTTGGATATGGGACTCGCTTTAGGCAATGGAATGTAAGTGAACATGATGTATGCCACATCCACGGAGATCACTTAGGTGGGTCTGGCTTGGTCTCTTATGTACCTGACCTCAGTCTTAGATAGAGAAAAAATCCACTGTGATTTGAGAGTTGTTTCTGGTAGCAAAAGCTGGCTGATTTGGGAATTGTCCTTCATCCCATTGTCTAGTAACTATAGACCTTACAGCTTGTCAGCAGGTACTAAAGTAAGGTCAGCAATGGTGACAAAAACTAGAAAAAGCAGGATAGGCAATACTGCAGACTAAAGAACGACAGAAAACGTCCCTCACACCTTCGGTGGATTTCGTGAATGGCCTTCCTACTGCTCCCCGCTCCTATCCCCCAATTTAGTCTCTGCATAGTAGTCACACTAAATCTTTAAAAATATAAACCAGATCATGCATTCCCCCACTCCATCATGAGGGGCTTTGTAGCCACGGTATGGAATTTTAGTTTCAGGATGAAAACGAAAATTCTAGACATAGAAACATAAAGTTATGAACCACAACAACATGGGGCCAGTTATCAGAGGGTGAAGTAATTTCCTTAAACCTTAGTGAATCTTAAGGAAAACTACTGTAGTAAAAAATAATATTTATTGCCTCAAATAATGGTATTATCATAAATGAATCAAACTATATCTTAGTGTATTCAGTTTATAGTAACAGTGAAGAATATAACCATTTAAATATTTCTCTTTAAGATGGCTAAAATTTCACTGAAATTTTAGAATTTCACTGAAATTTTAGAAATACTCAAGATATTAAGGACACATTCTCCAATGGCTTTGTGTAATCAAATGATAAACAGTATTATCTGAAGTACAAACAAGTATGCAGGGCTTCCATGAAAAATGCATTCCAAGTGCAATTCTGCTATTTTTTTCTCAGCATCTCCAATGTATAAGGTTTATAGGATGTATAAATACAGGATATTTTATAGGATTTACAGGATTGTTTATAAGATATATAAATATTTAGACCCCGGTGTGGTGGCTCATGACTTCATGACTGTAATCCCAGCACTCTGGGAGGTGGAGATAAATGATATCCTGAGCCCAGGGATTACAGACTAACCTGTGCAACTTGGCAAAACCTTGTATCTACAATAAATAAAAAAATTTGGACATGGTGGTGAGCGCCTGCAGTTCCAGTTACTTGGAAGGCTGAGGAGGAAGGATTGCCTGAGCCCAGGAGGTCGAGATTGTGGTAGCTGTGAGTATTCCACTCCACTCCAGCCTGGGTGACAGAGTAAAACTCTGACTCTATAAACAAGCAAACAAGCAATTAAATATTTATGGGAGCCAGGTTCGGTGGCTCAGCCTGTAATCCTGTGCCTTTGGGAGGCTGAGGTGAGTGGATTGCCTGAGCCCACGGGTTCAAGACTTGCCTGGGCAACTTGGTGAGACCTCATCTCTACAATAAATCAAAAATTAGCTGGGCATGGTAGCGCGCGCCTGTCGTTCCAGCTACTTGGAAGGCTGAGGTTGAAGGATCGCTGGAGCCCAGCAGGTCGAGGCCACTGCACTCCAGTCTGGGTGACAGAGTGAGATTCCAACTCAAAAATATATATATATATTTATGGGATATAGTACCTGCTTACAAGGATCTTGCAATCTATTGGAGGACTCTGACATGCACATACTTTAGGAATGCCAGGAATACTCCTCTTTACTAGGAATACAGCAGAGATTATTTTTCTACCCTGAAGCAAGCAGGTTACAGGCTAAAGCAGATGTTCTATGCATAGCAGCTTGTAAAGGTAATGTACTTGTCTTTCTCAGTCATGATATGCTAGATAAATGAATGAAAAATGTTATGATTAAGTACTCTGTTATGATGCAGGGGCTCTGAAAATAACTCCTGCGATGCCAGGTTCTTTGTAGGTATGTCCTAAATCAGATGTTCATGAACTAGGGGTTGTATGTTTTATATTATGGGTAATCCCAAAATGTAGTTCTACATGTTAAAAATAGGGATGAAAAAATCATCATTGTGACACAGGAGAGTTTAAAATGAATACTTTTCCTTTTTTATTTTTAAAATAAAAAAGCTCCTTAACAAATGTATTATTTGTTCCAAATATAAATCACTGCAAGTCGGGTGAGGTATAATTCCAACAATTTAGGAGGCTGAGGTAGGAGGATCACTTGAAGCCAGGAGTTCAAGACTGCAGTAAGCTAGGATTGTGTCACAGTAAGCTAGGATTGTGTCACTGCACTCCAGCCTGGGTGACAGAGCAAGACCCCATCTCTTAAAAAAAAAAAAAGAGTCACTATAGAGGCATTTTTTGATGCTAGGAATGGGAATGGAGGAAAAAGATGAATTATAATCACTCTTCAAAGGATTCAATGTAATAATATTAAAAAATATTACTTCTCTTACATTACTGTATATATACGAATAGAGCAAAAAGAAAATAAGTAAACAAAATCATAAATGGGTACAAGTTGGAAGAAAAAAATTTCTCATAAATTAAACCTTCAAATATCTTGATCACATCTACAAAATGTAGAGTAAGATTGTTTAACAGAAGAATAAATTTTAAAATTCAGGTAACACAAATACTCCACATAAATGAAAATTAGCAACAAATCTAAAACTTTTTAAATAGGCCAATATGACATACATAAAAAACCAACATAAAATTAGCATTCAGACTTACCGTAATAAGAGTTCTTTGGGAAGTTTTTTATTGATTACAGCTTCATCGCTATTTGAGAACATCTGCAAAAACAAAATCATTGTGTCAAGTGTTACTTAAATTTTATCACAAAATGTTCAACTCAAAAGTTTAGAGGCAATTCTCTTAGGAGAGAGGTAAAAAAGTACATTGGGTATTATAAATCAAAGTTGTATTTTTGGAGACTCTCTAGATTGAAAATCATCTTTGAGGCATTTAATTCCTGCCTGTCATCAGGGAAAAATAACTAACAGCAGTCACAAGGATACATTATGAGCCAGGTACTATTTCAAATGTTTTCATGTATAATATTTTAAATCTTCATACCATCCCTATCTTCACTTTACCGATAAAGAAATTGAGTTACAGAAGGACTGCTTAGGATCACATCACTGTGGAGTGACTACTTTAAAATGCCATTAAAATAAGAAGATTCTCCAAATTTGGCTCACATTTACTTGTTCAAGGAGGTGTTCAGAGGCCTCTTTTGTGTTTTATATATCAGGGAGAAAGCCAACAGTCCTCCCTAACCATCACCATAGCATTCTGGAGGCACTCAAGTGATCATTTAACATATTGATCAAAATACAAAGGAGAACTTTTAAACTGAGTCACCACTTTTGCCACTAAGGAAATCAGGACTATAAGCATGTCTTGTAAGCATGTTAAAACAACCACCACCACCACCTATACCCAATAAAAAGGACAGTAAAAACAGCAAGACCACATCACTGAAGTTTAAAGAAATACGTTCAGCCCCTGCAGTTAAGTACTACAGAAATTTCTCCTGACTTTATGCAAAGAACATTAAAACACCCTGTAAATATTAGGCACTTTTTAAGACAATGGGATAAAAAGAAAATAAGACATGATTTCTGTCTTTAAAAGGGAGCTCTTGCTCTACAGTGAAGAAAATAGAAACAAGGGCCAGGCACATTGGCTCCCGCCTATAATCCCAGCACTTTGCGAGGTGGAGGTGAGAGGATTACCTGAGCCCAGGGATTCAAGACCAGCCTGGGCAACTTGACAAGATCTACAATAAATAAAAAAATTAGCCGGGTGTGGTGGCATGCACCTGTAGTTCCAGCTACTTGGAAGGTGGAGGCGGAAGGATCTCCTGAGCCCAGTAGGTCGAGGCAGCCATGAGCGCACTACCGCACCCCAACCTGGGTGACAGAGTGAGACTCTGACTCAAAAAAAAAAAAAAGAAAAAGAAAAAAAAGAAAAGAAAAGACAATAGAAATAAGCAAATAATTTACCAATTATTACAGTACTAGACATAGATGACAAGAGGCATATGAGAACAAAGGATGAAATAACTAATTCTGCCTGCAGGTATATCTAATTTGTATCTTAAAGGAAAGTCAGAAATTAACTAGCAAAAAAGGAGACGATAACAACACTTACAAAACTGTAAAGTCACACAGGAAGGTCAGGGTATTTCATGGAGATTCAAAGTAGAAGTAAAGGAAGGAAACAGAGGGGTAGGGAAGCAGTGGGCACAATATACTCCCCCTCCGCCTCAGATATTTATAGAACAATTATAATAATAAATATTTTCTAATATTTACAAATAACTACCTTCCAGCTAAATGAAAAGCTCTGTGAGAGCAGAAGTATGTCTGTAAGGACTGCCATATTTCTAGGGCTGAGCACACAGACGGATACAGGAACTCAATAAACCCAATGAATGGATCATTAAATGGATGGTGGGACTAGACTGTGAAGGAAACTTATATACAAGCATAAAAATGTGAAACACTGTAGGCAAGAGGAAGTTAAAGACATTAAACTCTGGACCAGTAGTAAGGAAATAAAATTAATCAATTGAAATTATAATCCAAGTAAAAGATGTAAGATTACAGGGTAAAATGATAAGTGTAAGATTACAGGGATGGTAGGAATAAAGAATAGAAACTAGAAACAATGAGGATTGTTAAAGATGCAACAATATGGCCAGGCTCAGTGGCTCAGCCTGTAATCCCATGCTTTGGGAGGCTGAGGTGAGTGGATTGCCTGAGCACGAGGGTTCGAGACCCGCCTGGGCAACTTGGCAAGACCTCATCTCTACAATAAAAATCAAAAAATTAGCCAGGCATGGTAGTGCGCGCCTGTAGTTTCAGCTCCTTGGAAGGCTGAGGCAGAAGAACCGCCAGAGCCCAGCAGGTTGAGGCTGCGGTGGCAGGGAGCGGTCACTGCACTCCAGTCTGGGCGACAGAGTGAGACTCCAACTTAAAAAAAGAAAAGAAAAAAAACAACAAAGATGCAACAATATTTGGTAACTGAAAGTGGATCATTTAGCAAGCTTCAGTGCAACAGACTATAGAAGTAATGCTATTGACCAAAAATTACATTTTTTTTAGAAAAGTATCTTACATTAAAGAATAAATTGTTTTACCAGTAACTTCTACCCATTGGTGAAAGCTATGTTAAAAACATAAAGCCGGGCTCGGTAGCTCAGCCTGTAATCCTGCGCCTTTGGAAGGCTGAGGTGAGTGGACTGCCTGAGCCCGCGGGTTCAAGACCCGCCTGGGCAACTTGGCAAGTTAACAATAAATTTAAAAAAAAAACAGCCAGGCATGGTAGCGCGCCTGTAGTTCCAGCTACTTGGTAAGGCTGAGGTGGAAGGATCGCTGGAACCCAGCAGGTCGAGGCTGCGGTGCCTGGGAGCGGCCACTGCACTCCAGTCTGGGCAACAGTGAGAGTTCAACTCAAAAAAACAAAAAATAAAAATAAAAACATAAAACCCTAATGAACATTTGTATACCTAACCCTAAATTGTACCCCACACCTTTAAAATAAAAAAATTAAAAGATAAAATAAATACATAAAAACATAAAACCCAATCCCTCCTCTAAAAGGCAGTCCTTCAAAACGAAACCACATTTTCTCCTAAACAAGCTTAGGTTCTTTTAATGTTCTCAAGTATCATGGTTTCTAAGACACTGTACCGTTATGGTCATTGTTCTCTGAGTACACTTGTAAGCAGTAATCCACAAAGTTGCAATGTATTTAAAAAGCTAAACAGTATCTCAGCATTGTTCACAATAGCAAGAACATGGAACCAACGGTGCTGCCCATCAAAAGAGGACTGGATTAAAAAATGGAGTATTACGCAGCCATAAAGAAGAGCAAAATCATGAACTTGGCAGCAACCTGGACGGAATTAGAGTTTATAATACTGAGTAATCTTTCACAGAAACAAAGATCTGAGTATCACATGTTCTCACTCATAAGTGGACCTTGAACAACTACCGTAATTCTACAACAAAAGGATTGACAGTAGTCGATATCTGCCTGGGGAAAGGAGACACACCTCAACAACCAGGGTTCCTGCACTATGAATATTTGTATACCTAACCCTGAATTGTATGCCACAATTTAAAAAGAAAAAAAAACTCTATATCTAATAAATAAATAAGATTTCAAGCTTTAAAAAAAAAAAAAAAAGCTAAACAGACTGGGCCCAATGACTCACATCTGTAATCCCAGCATTTTGGAGGCCAAGGAGGGAGGCCTATTTGAGCCTAGGAGTTTGAGAATAGCCTGAGCAACATAAGAAAACTTCATCTCTACCAAAAACAAAATCACATAATACAGGCATGGGCAGGCATGCCTATAGTCCCAGCTACTCGGGAGGCTGAAGCAGAAGGATCGCCTAAGCCCACAAAGTTGAAGCTATGGCAAGTCATGATCATGCTGTTGCACTCCAGCCTGGGTGACAGAGTGAGACCCCAAATCATAAAAAAAAAAAAGAAAAAAGATGAAACAAACAAACAAACAAAAAAAGCGAAGCTCTTTAGCTTGTATACTCAAAACATTTTATTTAATGGCATATATCTCACCACAGAAGACACTCCACTCACTTGAAAATACACAGTCATTTATTTTTTTAAATACTGTTCATATTGTTCACATGACTTCTACAACTCCAGATGTAAAACAGCAAAATCACAGGCCAAGCACAGTGGTTCATGTCTGTAATTCCAACACTTTGGGAGACCAAGGCAAGAAGATTGCTGGAGCCTAGGAGTCTGAGACCAGGCTGGGCAAACATAATGAGACCCCTGACTCCACACACACAAAAAAATTCACTATCAGCAGCTAATTTCTTCCCTTGCTTTGCAAGCTAATTTCTTCTCTTGCAAAGCAAGGGAAGAAATTATATACTGAGAATGTCATTGCCTCCACAGGAGAATGAAGGTATGTGAAGGAAAAAAGGAACAGACAGTGCCCTGGAAAGATTTGGGAAGTGCCGTATGTACAAGACATCTGTCCAGATTTATATATCCCCCACCTTTCTTCTGCACATAGGTATCCTACTCTAAGTTTGTAAAAACGGATCGGGTCAGTGTTACAAGGTATGGTCTCCTGACCAACAGCATAAACCAGGAACTTATTAGAAATGAAAATTCTCAGGCTGTACCCCAGACATAAAGGATCAGAGACTCGAGGTAGATTGATAGGAGGAAAAGGGACAATGTGTGTTTTATTATTTTATTTATTTATTTTTTGAGTTGGAGTCTCACTCTGTCACCGAGACTGCAGTCATGGCACGCTCATAGTCATTACTGCCTCTAGCTGCCGAGCTCAAGCTTCAGCCATTCAGGTAGCTGGAACTACAGCAGTGCACCACCATGCCTGACTAATTTTTTCTTTTAATTGTAGAGATGAGGTCTTGCCAAACTGGCCTGGAACCCCTGGACTCAGGATTCTCTGGCCTCCACATCCCAAAGTGCTGGGATTACAGGTATGAGCCACCACACCTGGCCACCAATCTGTATTTTAACAAGATCGCTAGGTGATACTGATGCACTCTGAAGTCTGAGAACCAATCGACCAGATAAAGTAGATTGAGGATCTCAGGCTATAAGAAATCACAGTTCTAATACATAATCAGAATATTTATTGCTATCAGAAGTGACACAGGAACGGAGTTCAGAAAATAACCCTAAAGATAGACACAATAACCTTAGATGTTTTCTAGGAAAGCAAAATGATTTCTACTCTTGTTCATGCTGCTATTTGTAAAACAAATATTTCACAGAAGCAATAAAATATA